AGAGAGAAGATGAAGAAAGGAAGAGAAGAGAAGAAAAGAGGGAAGAGAGAGAAGGAGAGAGGAGATGTGAGAAAGAAGAGAAAGCAGAGCGAAGAAAGAAGAGAGAAAGGAAGAGAGAGAAGGAAGAAGAGGGTAAGGGGAGAAGAGAGATGAAGGAAGATAAACATGGACGACGATGAGGGTTCCGCCGTTCATGACAGGAAAAGAAGAAAGAAAAAGAACACGGATGACGATGGGGTTTTACCGTCCACAACAGAGGAGAGAGATAGAAGAAGAAAACATGGACGGTGATGGGTCCGCCATCCATGAGAGGAGAGAGAAAGAAGAAGAAAACATGGATGATGATGGGTCCCGCCATCCATGAGAGGAGAGAGAAAGAAGAAGAAAATATGGACAGTGATGGGGTTCCGTCGTCCATGACAGGAAAAGAGGAGAGAAAGAGACCATAAACGACGATGGGGTTCTGCCGTCTACGACAGAGATAGAGACGAAAGAGAGAAGAGGAAAGAGAAAGATATGTGCGGTGATAAGCATCGTCGTGAGTGTCGAAAGGGACCTAGACATGACTCGGCCTGTAACTCGGGAAAGGACCCATCTCACTGTGTATGTTCCAGGAGACGTAGGACATCATGCCCAACAATAAGCTCCACCGTGCATGAATGGAGAAGAGAGAGAAAGGAACATGGAGATAGAAAGCAGAGAGAGATTAGGAAAGCGAGACAAGATAAAGGAAGGAAAGAAGAGAGGGCAAGAAAGTGAAGAAAGAAAATCAAGAAGAGAGAGGAAAGATTAAGAAAGATGGGGGGATGATTAAAGAAAGAGTAGAGAAAAGAAGAAGGGGATGACACGGCGATGGCCCACTGCCGTGCATGTTGAGTGGAGAGAGAGAAAGAAAGAGAAAGAGAGAAAGACAATGGATGAGAGAGAAAGAGAGAAACATGCACGCCACTGGTTACTGTCGTGCGTGTTTGAGGCAGAGAGGAGAGAGACAGAAAAGAAAAAGAGGAGTGAGAAGAAGAAGAAGAAAAGAGGAGAGAGAAAGAGAGAGAAGAGAGGAGGAGAGAGAAAGAGAGAAGAGAGGAGGAAAGAAAGAGAGAGAAGAGGGAGGAGAGAGGAAGTTACCTTCACCAAAGGGTACCAGACTTTTTTTCCTCTCTCCTCTCTCTCTCTCTTGGATGTGCCCACAATTTCAATTTAAAACTCTCAAATTTTATTCATAAGATTGAAATTTGAGGGAAGCCTTTTACAATTAGGTTTAGCATGTATTTATAGAACTGGGCCCAAATATGGGTGGATGCTCAAAATCTAACCTAATTGATGATAATTACAATTTATTTGAATTAAAAAAAAATCTAAAAATGGGTGCAAAATGATGGTTTTGCCCTTACCCAACAATACATGAAATTTCAAAACAGTCCCTAATTGCTACTCTAAAACGTGCATGATCTTTCATAAATGATTTGGGGTTGCTCCGACATCCGTTTGGCTGAAAGATGATTACTTTCTCGTTGGGCTCGACATGACGATCGATTTGATACCAACTTTGAACTATGGATCGCGTTTTTAGGCCACGATCACCTAACTTGAAATTTGCATGAATCTTGGAAACTTCCGATCGATAGTGCGCTCATTTCTTGATGTTTCTTCATGATTTATTCGTTGACTTGCACTAAGCATGCCTTCATAATCGTGTTGCAACAAACACAGCTTGATTTCCTGTCCGATTGAAGATTTCACCATCTTGGGTTTTTGACCGAATCTTGAAATCCGGTGGCCAAAATCTGTAACAATTTCGACGCCTTCGTGTGCCGAATTCAACTGTTCATCACGTGCGGGGTTCATACCACGCATAGCCTCGGACCTTACGTACGCAATGGAACTGGTTTTGCATCGATCGGGTGTGCGAGTACCATGATATGGCAACTTGAGTGGGACGTGTCGCTGCTAAATTCCCTGCAACTGTCTTCACAAATTACCAACTTCTCTCTAGGTTTTCGCTCTGCTCGAGCATTGTCACGGGGCGTGCCATATATCAAAACGCTCGTCTTAATGAGACGAACACGCTCGTAAAGTTTGAGCGCGATCTGACTTGAAACGAGTGAGATATAAACCTCAAAAGTTACTGCTCATAACTGTGCAAACCACCCTCCTTTAATGGAGATTGGTGCTGGGAGGCCGCATGGGAATAGCGTGCCGCTTACACCTTTGTAATGTTTCACCCATAACTTTATCTTGGGGCGTCTGTTTAAGCCGAAACTTGACCCTTATGGGTTTTCGACTGTGTTGGATCCAATGGCGATGGTCCCACAACTGTTTGACACTCTAAAAATAGAGTTCTAGTTTCGGGGTCCGTTTTAGGGTGTTAGAGAATGATTTTTCTGAAACTGTTTCTTTGTATGCACTACCTTAGACAAGTCGGATTGCGATGAAACTTGGCAGGAGGCCTTTTGAAGTCCTTAGGAAGATTCTAACACGTTTTGGGATAATTCTAAGATTGTTAAAAATTTCACTATAAGTAGGGGCTTTATTGACCGGCTTCTCTTTTATTTCGTATCGGGGACCCAAGGTGCTGAAAAATGTGTTCAAACAATAGTATTTTCTTTTTGTAAGAAAAAATACTCACAATGCAATAATGAACATCAACTCTTATTTGGGTTTAACCCCTCTCACATATGGGATGAGTGGGAGATGTAGATATTAGGGTGCATTACTCATGTGATGGCACACCCAAGTGGACTACACTCTTTTCATGACTTAAGTTACTTCATGAAGGGAGATGGGGAGAGGTTGCACCTCTTCATGAGGCATATGCCCTCACATGAATAGGTCAGCCCTTTCTCTCACTGTAAAAGGGTGAGGGTGAAGGTCTCTCCACACAATAATACACACGAAAAAGGGTGTGGGAGCTCCACTTGAGAGAGAGGGAGAGGTTGAAAGAGAGAGTACAATCACTCTCTCATTTCAGTATTAAGGAGAGACCCAACCCTAAAAGAGAAAGAGTTGTGTGTGAGAGATTCGAGCTTGGAATACTTATCATCTCACATTTGTGAGAGTATTCGTGAGCTTCCACCTTGCTCAAGATTTGCGGTGTGGAATTGATTTCGGCAGCACTAGTTGTTGTTGAACTTGCCTACATGAGTTGATCATCCCTCTCTAAATTCATTCATTAAAACTTTTTTGTGACGGGTTTTTTATTTTGCTTCCGCTTCAGCCGTTGGACCGTTTATTCCAACAGCTTGGGAGAGAGATATATATACGTTTTTTAGGTCAAAATTTATTAAATTCATGTGCTTTTAGTGTGCCTTAGGACCCATCTTTAGAGAATAAAAAAGCCTTTAGATAGGGATCCAAATTTAACTCTACTTGTCACTGAGAATTTATAGATAGAGAACCCAAATAAATGCACTACATTAGTAAAAGGGTGCAGTTGGCATACAGACGCATTCGTAGGTGTAGAGGTACGGTGCCCTTCAAATCTTATCATGGTATATAATTTTGATGTAAAATGTCATTAGGATTATCTCAAAATCTATTTTTATATCTAATTATAAAATTTAAATTTTAAAAATAATTAAAATCAAGTAGATCTATAAACATATAAAAATCTTGAAAATGGACGGTGTAGATAATATGTTGTAAAATACACTATTTCTAAGACTTAAAATATTTTTATTTTTCACGGTCATACATCTCGATGTCGAGATGATCAATCAAAGGGTTTTCAACATTAAAACTACGTTTTCCAACGGAGTTCTACATTATAAGGTCGCATCCTTATATAAACTTTTTCCTTAGTAAAATTACGGAAAAAAGAAATCACTATGTCAATATAATTGATAACTTATTACTTGATCATTTATAAACAGCATATCAATTTTTTAATTTTTTTTTATACCAAAAAAAACTTAAGTGCTATTTGTTTTGATTTCGGAATAACATTAATTTAATTTCTCATGTTATCCCTATGAAAACTACAAAAATACGTACAAAGGAAATATAATCTTCAAATTATAGAGAAAAAATATGTATCTCGAAAATATCTATTTGAATGTGCTTCTAGATCCATTCCTTTTAATTGTACTGCATTAAGTATTCTAGGGAAATTATTTTTAAGGCATTAATACTTAAACAAAATTCATATTGATGGATGAAAGACCAAACAAATAGCATTAGCTTTCATCCTATGAATAAGAAAACCGCATAAAAAAGTTACAATATATTCTAAAAGATAAAGTTAACATGAATATGAAAAGGAAAAAATTTATATAAGGGTGGCAACCTTAAAATGTAGAAATAAAGTTGCAACTTTAATTAGATTAGAATTCTGTTTTTTAATTTATTATATTAATTTATTTATATTTGAATCCATTTTATTTTTCATTAAATTTTTCTTTATCTTTTATTTTGTTTATTTCGAATTTTCTATTCTATTTTAGATTGATATTCTATCATTTCATCATTTTGTATTTATAGATTATATATTTTCTAAAATTATAATATTCTAAAATTAGAAAAACAAAAATTAAATAAGATAGAATTAAAATATAATTAAAATTTAATTCAATTCAAATTCTATTTTAATAATATTTTTTTTAATGTTTTCTATTATTTTGGTAAATTTGAAAATTTATTTGGCCATGCATACTTACTTTTATATTTTCCATTCTTTTAAAAATTATTTCTAAAATACCCCATCACAAATTGATTTTCTCAAAATCAAAATTTTATTACTTTTTTAACTTCATGTGGATGTTCTTTGTTTAAGTTTATTTCAAACGTATTCTTTTAAATATTTTTAATACTTTAGCTCGGCAAGAACTCGACCCCTGCCCCGCGTCCCCCCCTCCCCCTCCCCCCTCCCCCCTCCCCGAAGGTGGAGGTACTCGACGAGTCAAGTACTGGGTTCAAGTACTGGTCCAGTACCCGACCCGACTTGTTTTGTTGAACACTGCTCCCTTGCTGGGTGCAGAGCATACACATCTCTTATGGATATCTTCTCACTTTTGTTTGTAGTAATCTGACACGCCAATCTGTCTGGACTCTGGAATGGATAAATCCCAAACCTACTCCTGTCTCTCGCCTGTTTCTGGCATCCTCTACTCCTCTCACAATGCAATAATCTGTCTTCCCCTCTTGCCGAGATTTCTTCATGGCTTTGGTGGTACGGGTACCGGCCCAAAGAACTTCTTGCATTTTCTTCACCGGCCCTTCTTGCTCTTCTTCCTGCCACTATGTCCAATGCAAAACCGCCCTCTTCGCCTCTAGAAACACTACATCTATGAATTCTGCATTCCTCAGGCGTGGCACTCTACTTTCTCTCTCTAAAAGTGTTTCTTCACGAAACCCAAATGAGCTTTCTTCTTCTAATCGAAGCCCTCTTGTTGTTCGAATGTCTTGGGATGGACCACTTTCTTCCGTTCGTCTGATCATTCAGGGAAAGAATCTGGAGGTATTTCGATGGTTTTCTTGTTATATTAAATGTGAGTACTGATGCTATGATTTTCAGAGAAATCTAGAGTTTAAAGGTTTTTGTGTAAAATGCAGTTAACTGATGCAGTGAAGTCCCATATTGAAGAGAAGGTGGGTAAGGCTGTTCAGAAACACGGTCATCTCGTTAGGGAGGTTGATGTTCGATTATCTGTTAGAGGTGGGGAATTTGGGAAGGGCGCTAAGCTTCGGCGATGTGAGGTGTGCCCAACACTGATACCATTTTGTGTTTTTTCGCTCCATCTTTGATGAACTAACCTCAGTATGAATTGGGTCTAACTAATTTTTGGGTTTTATTTATTTTCTTTACGAATCGGGCTGAACGGTTTTTATGTTTTTTGTTGTATTTTCATTTTAATAATTGTAACTGAGTAATTTATGCCCTTTGTTTTCGTTCTTTATAATTGGGTCTGGATAATTCACGGGTTTTATTGGTTTCATTTTTCACCATAAACTGAATTTTTATTTGATGGTCATCGTGATTTGATTGTGCAGATTGGAATTGTGATTGGTTTTATGTGTTGCCACTTGCAGGTTACATTGTTTACAAAGAAACATGGAGTAATTAGAGCGGAGGAAGATGCGGAATCTCTTTATGGGTCCATTGATATGGTTGCATCGATTATTCAGAGAAAACTGAGGAAAATTAAGGAGAAGGTGTCTGATCATGGCAGGCACATGAAAGGTTTCAATAGGCTTAAGGTCAGGGATCCTGGTGCTTTCTTAGCTCAGGAATTAGAGCCAGAATCTGAAGAAGATGCTCCGGATTTATTGGATGAGGTTTGCAACATAATTTTCTACTTCTTCCTCTTCAGTTTTGGTTTATCGTGTGCTTCACTCTGTTTGAGGTTCTAATCTCTTACATGATTGTAACTTTTAACTGCCTGGCTGCTTTTATTCCAGTGTGGTTCATATTGGGGATTTCTTAGAAAACAGAATCCAAATTTAAACACTATCTGCACCATACCATCTCACTAGGAAAAATCCTTTTGGCCTTTCAATTTGTTTGAAATGAAATAAATCATTTGGGATATGGTTTTTGTATTTTTCCTCACATTAATTTAAGCTTCTTATGAAGTATGGTTCTGTGAATACTTTATTGACTCAAGAACCATGGACTTAGATAGTTCTTTTGGTTCTTACGAACAATACCTAGTATTTCTGAAGCTAGTTAAGTCTCTTTGATGTTCGATCTATCAATTATTTAATATTCACTGGGTGATGCCTGCTAGATCACCTTATCTTTCACTTATTAGGATTCAAATTGATGTATTGCTCAACTAGGTATTTAATGAAGTGGTGGAAAGAGTGCAATGCATTCTATTTTGCTCCCCTAAAACAAGTTTAGAGAGAGAGAGAGAATGTATGGGTGGGATTAATCCCACATCCAAGAAGTGAACAAATTCATGGGGGTGAGAACTATAAAAGGGGTGGGGGAGGTTCAAAATCTAATGCATAAACAAAAACCTGTTGGGTCCGGGTCCAGGTTCAGGTCCAGGTCCAGGTCCGGGTCCTGGGTCCCGGGTCCTTAGTACCCGAGCGGGTACTGGTATGGGTATATATTTTGGAGCCTATCGAGTACGGGTTCACAAGGGATACTTCGGGTACAGGTCTGATTCAGGAGGACCCATCACCCACCCCTACCTATAATTAGCGATGACTGCCATATTGATAGTTGGACTGCAGTTATGTGCTCTGAAAAAAATGACGCCATTGTTCTCTTGAGCTTTGGCATGCACTGCTCATGCAAGTATATGAGGAGGAGGAACAAGTTTGAGCCCCAAAAGGCTGAAACTTTGGAAAAAAAAAATTTTCTTGGAAAATGGTTAACATTGTTATAAGTATATAAATATACGTCAAAAAGGACCCCTTAGACTACCCACAAGAAATGGGTGCTCTATTACAAAATTGGGTATTAAAGAACAAAAAAGATGTTTTCAACCTTCAAGAAGTAGGCTTTACACAAGGGGGTACAGGAGAGGGAGAAGCAGCATTGTGATCTAGTACAGAAGTGGGGGAGAGAGAGATGAGATGAGAGGTGGTGAGATGAAGGGGAGAGAGAGAGAGAGAGAGAGAGAGATGAGGGGTGATGATAGGAAGAGATGTTTTAGATCGCTGCCTCTATTGTTGACATTGGTGTTGCTGCTCCTTCTTTAGTGAGACGATCAACAACGGCATTGGCCTCCATGGGGATATGGTTGAAGGTGACCTGAGCTCCCCAGCAAAGCGCAAAAATATGGTCATAGAGATGGGTTAATCTTCATTGTTGGGTGTGTCCATTTGCCCATAATATTACATTCTTAGAGTCTCCTTCCACTTTGAGAATTTGACAGTTTCCAATGAAGCTAATGGTTCTCTTTAGGCCCTCTAGGAAAGCAGTAGTTTTAGCTGTGGTGGAATCTATATGGCCTATAAAACCCGAGAATGACAAGAGTTCGGTGCCCGGGTTTCCTGTAGAGAAGACATCAATATTAAGTTTCGATAACCCATGGAGGAGGTACTGAGCTAGGTGCAAGGTTTAGAATGTTGGTCCAATTGGATATGAAAATTGAGGAGCCTAAGTTGGCACGTTCCAGTAAGTTTTTAGCCTAAAAAGCATCAATACTTTTGTTCAATCTAGAAGGGAGGATGAAAGCTGACTTTGGCCTTGGAAGGTTCCAACATTCTTCTGATTCCGTATAATCCATGTGGCTGCCATTATGGTGATCCTCCAAAAATGATGACATCATTATTAAAAAAATTGGTTGCCTGCCCCCTAGGTAGCCGCCTAGGCAGTTGGGCTGTCAAAATGCCTGGGCAGGGCCTAAGCGGGCTCCCTGAGCATCTTGCTTCTAGGTGCGTGCCTAGGCGACTAAGGTGCCACCTAGGCGGTCACCTCAAGGTGGGTGCCTTGGAATAGGTGCCACCTAGGCGGTCACCTCTCTTTCTCTCTCTCGATTGAGTGAAAGACATGCATCCATCTCATGTGCTAGCCTCCCACTTAAAAAAATAAAAAACAGGTGACCCAAAGCCAGTGCACACACATGTCTCTCTCAATGTCTCTAACTTTTGAGAGAAAGACGTGTCCATCTCATGTGCCTGCCACCCCTTCAAAAATTTTAAAAAATTTTGACGTGACACAAAGTGACAATGACACATATCTCTCTCCCATGATGTCTTAAAAAATGAACGACTTAAAGTTGGTTTGTCTCTCTCGTTCTCCTTAAAAAAGATTAAGTTGGTCTCTCTTTCTCTCTCTTGCTTTTGGGGTGTCCTTTATTTGTGTGGAAAAGTTAGGAGTATAAAAGGTATTCAATACAGATAAACTCCTCATGTTCATTGATATGACATAGAAAAAGTAAAAGAAATGAGCTAACACTTGTATCAAATTCACCTCTCAAAAATTTAAAAGACAATAACAAAAGTGAAGGGCATAATGGTCACGGCCATTTCATTTACCTCTCTTTTTTTACGCTTGTAATTCATGCTTGGAGAATAATTATGAACAGAGAGAAAGAGATGACCAAAAGGGGGGGCGAGTTGCACCCCTATCCTTGGCAGGCGCTTAGCCGCTTAGGCGGCCAGGCCCCCAAAATGCCTAGGCAGACTCCTATGCCTTTTTGAAGACAACGTGGGGCTAAATAGGCCTAGAAGAGTTGGTTGGTGTCTTTTGGATATGCTCAAGGTAGCAGAAATAGAGGAAATAGATGGTCCCAAAGTGAGGAGATGGCTGAGTAGTGGAGAAGGAGATGGCTAGCTGTCTCGTCCTCATCTTGGTAATGGTTGGGTAAAGGTAGGCCCCTTCTCTGTAGTTGATCTACTACCAAGATTTTCCTGTGCGTCCAAGAGAAGGCTTGAATCTTTAAAGATATTGGGGTAGACCAATTTTCAGAAAGATGTGTTTGGGTGCCCGAGTTGGGAGCAGCGAATAGTAGAAAGGGGCCACCATGAATAGGTCAGTGGGCATAGGAGCCCATAATAGCCGGTCCCCTCCCGTTAGGGCAACGAAGATGGAATTCAAAGAGCTTAGAAGGGACATGAATTGGGTGATTCATGTTTCGAATAGGGTTCTCATGAAGGAAAGTTTGTTGGAGGCTAGGGAGAAAAGTTGAGGCCATTGGCTTGTACTTGGCTTTGTTCCCATCCACACATTGGTCCAAAACCTTACCTTTTGTCCTCCAATTTTGAATCTAATCTTGGAGATAAGAAAAGGCTCTACTTTTGGCTATACAGTTCCATGCCCCTGATCCTTGATGTCTAGGGAATTTAGGAAGCCATCCTCCTCCTTGCATCCATATTTACTGCAAACAACTTCCTTCTAAAGCGTATCCTCATTCAAGGAGAACCTCCACCACCATTTTCCAAACAAGGATAGATTTATTTCGTTAAGGGCGTGTTTGATTTCTGGAAGACACGGTTTTGGAAACCGCATCTCTAGGGAAGTGGATACCCCATGTTCCATGGTCCCCCATGGAACTAGCATTATCCACTTTTTAGCATTAAAGATAACGTAAGTGGCTAACGCGGTATCTGCTTTACTACAAAACTTCCTTGTTATCAAATAGGGAAGTGCTATAGTACTGGAAGACGTGGTTTAAAAAACCGCGCCTTCCAAAACTCAAACACGCCCTTAAGAGGCTACGTTTTCTGGTTGGCAAACCTTATTCTAGGCTATTAAGCGAAGTGAAATTTATGTGCATCATTGCTCCCTTTCCGCATGAAGTTCGACATTAATTCTTCAAGCTTACATGCTATACTCTCTGGTATTTGGAATAAACACATGAGGTAAATGGGCTCATTGGCAAGGGTTTCCTTGATGAGTGTTCTCCCGCCTCCTAAGGAGAGAAATCTCCCCTTCCAGTTTTCCAGCGTGTTGTAAAATTTCTATGTGATGCCATCCCAAAGGTGCTCTCTCGTTTTTCCCATGCAGAGGGGGGTAATTTTTCACAGGCACATCCCATGTGGTCAGTGAGGGGAACTATTTCATCTTCCACCATTCTAATATCCAATATTCTGGTCTTAGCGATATTTACTCTCATCCTGGTAGACAATTCAAAGCATCTAAGTAACATCCATGGTTTGTCTAGCTGGAGAGGGCAGGTATCAATGAATAACATGGTGTCGTTCGCATAGAGTAGGTGGGTAATCTAAGGGCCGTTCCTATAGGTCCTAAATCCTTTTAAAAGTACCGTTATCAAACAGGTTTGAAATGGCTTTAGAGAAGAGTTCTCTATATATGGCAAATAGAAAGGGTGAGAAAGGTCCCCCTATCCAAGATCTCTTGATGCTGTGAAGTATCCTTTCGAGGTCCCATTAATGAGTATTGAGAAGGTGGATAAGAAATGCATCCATGAATTCAGGTTCTCCTTCTTTGTCTGAAACCATTCTAGTGAGGATTTCAACTAGAATTGACCAGTCCATGTGGTCATATGCTTTATTCCAATTCAATTTTAATTTAAGACCTTTTTCACCTGATGAATGTCTGTAATGGATGGCCTCGTTGTTGTTTAGAGCCCCATCCAAGATCTATTTGTTTGCCACAAAAGACGACTGAGTATTGGATATGACCATAGTTATTGGAATGTTTCACCCAAGTGGCAGTTCCGCTTCAGAATCCCCGATTCGATGTTTCTGTTAAGGGATCTTTATAGGACCCATTTCCTTGAAGTTAGGAATCTCGATTCTACATTTGTTGCATCTCCCTTCCACATTTAATGAATCGTGATTCTATTTTTTTTGGAATCCACATTCTATGGTATCAAATACCGCATTTTATAGGTGCAAGGCACCATGATGCTATC